ATTGTGGTTGTGTACTGATACTGCATTGGCTCTTTCTTTGTTGAGCAGGTGGCTATTGATAGACCTCAGCTAGGTGACTATCAAGCGTGACCGAATTTAAGGGTGAGCCAGTTCTTTCGGGCTACCATGGATCTTTCTTGTTTGAGTCCACTCTTTTCAGACTCAGACTATTTGTTTAAGGTGTTGTTAGTTTTGGGGTTGTACCCCTTGTTCTTAGATTTGTCGTTAGTAGAGTTTTGGTACAATGACTTTCAGGTTCTAGGGGTTGATCTTCCGCATTAGTTTGTTTAGTTAATTGTTTAAGCCCTTGGAGTTTATGGGGACTCCATTTTTATTGTTATTTAAATCTGTTTCCATATCTTAAAATGCCTTAGTTTTCATAAAATTTGTTTGTTTGGATTGTAGTAATGGTTCTTCCACCGGAGGATTTGTGTGGGTGCCAATCACTACGGTCTGGATCGTGACACCTACTAACAAGACGTGTCCTCCACACCTTACTATCTAAAATCATGTCTTCTATAATATGAAGTTGAGTTGTATTCTATTTTATTACTTCTCCCCAATAATTCTTTCACTTTAATACTGTCATTCATGACCATGATGGTCAAATGATAACATAATGCATTTCTATCATTTTCTATTGACTTTTTTTTTATTATTGTTGGATAAACTGAAAATCAAATAGATCAAACTAAATAAATCAAAATAGAAAAAGTGAAAAATTGAGTTCTATCAAATTGGATTTATTTTTGTATTAACCTAAGAACTTTAAAATGGTGACAAAAACACACTAATCTTTCCCTTCCCAAACGTGGGATTTGTTCCATAGTTGAAAATTGTTTCTTAAATCCAAATAATCATTTTAAAAAATTGTTATTATTCCTAATCATTTCGATATATTTAAAGAAAACTTTAACACGATCAACGTCTCAAATTAGTCTTAACCTCATCTTTTAAAATAATGTGTTGACAAATAATCTTACATTCTAGACCTGTTCAATAATTTAATGGGATTGACGATAATATTTTATTCGAGACTTACGAGAAGAATCTATAATGAGATAATGTAATTTACAAATAAGCTAACTAGCTATGACGGAAAAGGATCAAGTATATCCCTATATTGTTAGAAATTGTTCAAATATATCCTTCGTTATTTTTTTTGATCAAATATACCATTCACATTATACTTTCAGTCCAAATATATCCCTTTATAATATTTTGAAATAAATTTGCTATTAATTTTAATGGAGAATACATGTCAAGCTTAGAATCAAATCACCGACCCCAACTTTAAATTTCTGATTTAAAAAAAAAAAAGAATCTACCATTTAACCTCAGAACGAATAATGGCATTGAACAAAACTTGCTAAAATTGAGCTTTGCATTTAAAATAACTAGTATACGTGCCCGCGAGTTGTGCGGATAATATTAAAGAAAGTTATTACGTTATATATTTTGTTCAAATTTATATTATACACTTGTCTTTATGGAAAAAGTCATTTAACATAGTATATAAATATATGAGAATTGAGACCTTTCCATTAATGAGTTTTGTTGCGTATTTGTGATGATGATTAAAAAAAGTTTCTCAGCACACACTTCTTGAATACTACTAAATTTATAGTTTTCATGTTCATACAATAACAATAAGAATTTTTTTTTATTAATGACGATAATGTAATGTTGCTTGATAATTATGAACAACGATCAGATATGACAAAAAATTTATCATAAAATTTCAAGTCGCAAAGTGCATCAAATCTACATGAATTGCCTATATGGAATTAAATGGGTAATGAATATAAAATGCTAAGTAACAGTAAGATCGATCAACTAAAACTTTATATTTTGATTGTGTAATATTTAAGGGTCGAAGAACTGAATAAAAAGATATAACTCAACTTTAATGATTATTGTAGACATACTTTGAAAATAAAGTAATAATAATCTAAATATAATCACAATATAATTATTGCGGCTCCAATTATAATGAACCAAAACTAATAATTTGTTTTTAGATAAATTTGATAAGAGTATAACATTAAGTTCTTCAAATTGGTATATTTTAAAATCATTGTTCAGTTGAAACAAATCAATGCACTTAAAATATGTGTCCAAACTATCCTTTAAATGATACTAAAATAAATGTCTGAATTTTTATATTGAAAAAAATGTATGCACCAAATTTGGAATCATAAACATTGCAAAGGACATATATATACTTATACTATCATCGGTTTGTGCAAGGTCATGATTTGCTAAAATTAAAAAAAATAATCAAGAAACACATTTTCTTGAAAATAAACTTCTTTGAAACTAACTACTTTGTACATGCCTTGATACTAAGAGCCAATATACAAAAAAATAAAATAACAGTAAACCCAACTTCTCTATGAGACTATCACGTCAAGTACAATGGAATATAATAAAATCAAAATAAACTTAGCTATAACAAAGAGTTAATGAGAGATGGAGAACCATCAATCTAAGCTGATTTTCTCCTTAACGATGCTTGTTTGATTGTCCTGGTTCAAATGTGATCTATTCTTTTGGGAAGTGCACGAGATTTCGTTGCATATTTTAAGTAGGCATAATACATAAATTGGACCCTAAACTTGACTTCAAATTTTAAGTATGACCTCTAACTTTCATAGTGCTCAAGTAGGCACTTTAACTATCCAATTCTTAAACAAAAAAACACGCGAATCCTACAGCCAAATTGTGTGATATACAAATGCGCCTACGTGGCTTATTGAGCCACTCAGTGGCTGCCACGTAATTAAAAAATTACACGTTTTTTTATAATTAAAAAAAATAAAATTAAAATACAAAAGGGTAGGGTCATATTTTCTTTTCCCAACCCAACCCCTACCAGCCCCTCCAACCCCAAAAAAAAATTGAAATTTATTTTAAAAAAATATTTTCAACTTCAAAATTTCTTTTTTTTCACCCCTACCTCGACCCGCCCCACCCA